TGGTGGTGACCCCCAACCATAAAATTATTTTCGTTGCTACTTCATCACTGTCATTTTGCTACTGTTATGAATTGGGCGACCCCTGTGAAAGGGTCGTTCGACCCCCAAGGGGTGCTACCCACAGGTTGAGAACGGCTGCATTAAAGTTTACTGTTAGTCACCCCTCCCCCCAAAGAAGCCCGGCAGTTGTTAATAATACCAAGGGTGACATCTCTACACACTCAGTGCAGCACGGAATGGAGACAGCCAAGAATTCCATAGGCACTTCGGCTCCCTGAATATGCATGTGCAGAACTCAGCGAGGTCACACAAGAAGGTCTTAATATGGACCTCTCCAACCCCTCCACCCCCACCCAATCACCAAGTTAGGGGAGAGCCTTGCTACTCTTAAGGATGAACTTAGGGGAAAGAGCTTGGGATTCGAGATGGCCGGTATGCACGTGAGGGCATGGAGAACATCCCACAAGTTCAAAAGGTGTGTCCCCAAAGGACTTCCTCCCGCATACCCCCTTTTGCCGACTTCTCTCCGGTGACCTTCCCCTCAGGCCACACAGCACATTCCTCCCCAGTCGGGAGGGGCAACTTCCCAGCCCACTCCATCCCTCCCCCAACTGCCTCCATGCCAACCTCAGGGGCTCAGTCCCGAAGTTGCCACCTTAGAACCTTCCCGGGTGAAGGAAGCATTCTAAGAGTGCCCAGTGGGGAGGGCGACACAGCTGAATTAAAACTGTCCAACACACACATTTTCTATGGTCTGTAAATTATACTCTAACGAAGCTTTCAGACGGCCTAATTGTTCGCAGTTGCCTCCTCAGAGACCCCCGTTTGCTACACCTTGACCCTCTCGGGAGCTGACTCGTGCACGGCCAATCCCTCCGGGGGCCGAGGGACGTCAGCTCGGGCGGCTGCACGGCCAGCAGTCTGAGACCACCACCCGCGCCGCGGGGCAGAGACCAGGCTTTCCGCTCCCGTGGAACCCGTCTCGGGACCCCACAGGGGCGGTCCTCCCCTGTCCTGTCCCTGAGGGTCGCCGTGCGCCGGCAGGGTGGTAAGTGACCGGCTGGAGGCGTCTCGGGGGAAGGCAGGGAGCCAACACGGGGCGTTTCAGGGGCCGGAGAGCGCGCGGCGGGTCTGCACCGGTCGCCAGGAGGGGCGTCCCGAGTAGCCGGGGGGCGACCGGAAGGGCGTTCCGGGCAGAGCGAGGCAGACAGGTGACCTTCCCGGAGCCTGGGGACCCAGGGCGGCAGCTAACAAGGGAGGCGGCACGGGGCCTACCTGGCAGGCGCTCTGCGGCGGGAAGCCGGAGGCTGGAAGGCTGGGGAGTCTGCGACCCCGCTGTGAAGCGGAGTCAGGGGCCAGAGTCTCGAGAGCCCGGAATCGCCTCACGTCAGTGTTAGAAACGGCCCCGGGCACCGCGAGGGCACTGCGCATGCGCTCCAGAGGCACTTCCGGCGTCGCCCGGAAGCGCGGAAGGAAAGCGCGCCGCCTTCCGCGAGTACGTGAACTAGTGGCGCCCAGAGGAAGGCCTCATGCCCGCGGGTTCCGGATTGGCTGAAAGTTGGGAACGCTAGCGGATGGTTGCCAAGCGACAGTTTCTAAATCCCTGCCCGCCATAGGTTGAGGACGGGTTGCCGTTTGCGTCGGAATAAACCACCGTAAAACAAAGAAAACCTATTAAGATTCTGATTGCTGCTCATGTATGCCCTGGTCTGGGAAAACGGATTTAATTCAGCTTTGGCGGTGCATCGGCCAACCTGCGTCCCAGCACTGACTTGGTTGCCGACGAAAGATCCAGAGCTCTGCTGGGCCTTCAGGGCCTCAGTGTGGGGCTCTATAATGGGCAAAACGAAGGCTGTCTTCTAGGGCTGTCCTTAATTAGGTTCAGGTGAAAAAAGAGCTGCGGAGGATGTTTGCGTCGCGTAAGGTCTCAAAGGAATGTCCAGGAGCGGTTCATAGCACACCGGAGCCGCTAGGTGGCGCAAACGACCAAGCGTCCTATTACGTAGCCTGGCAATGGGATCTCCCCAGGGGGGCCTTGGCAGAAAGGCCTGGCAAACTGCTTCAACCCTCTGGAGCGCAGTTGGAGGATATGTATCTCCCTCTCAACACGGCCTGCTCCACACTCACCTGGTTACTTTCTTCTTGTCGGGGTGTCTGGAGAAAGCGAAAGGAAACAAAAAAGAGAGGAACCTTGAGCTTGTGGCACCTAAGCCAGAGCCTCTCTCTCTGTCTGCATACCAAGAGCCTCGGCATCCACTGGGAGGTTTAGGATCCGAGGCAGCTTGCTAGAAAATGCAGACTCTGTAGGTCCAGGGCCCAACAACCCACATTGCTCGCAAGCACCACAGCTGAAAACTAAGGATCCGGACTAGGGCCTTAGAATCACTTAGGAGAACTTTTATAGATTTTGCCAGGGATTATGATTGTGTGGATCTGGGGTGGAGCCCAGGAAATTCATCTTGGAAACAAAATACAAATTCCCCAGGTGGTTCTATGTGCAGCCAGGATGGAGAGCCTCTGTTTTAGACAATGATGGTAGCAATCATTCCTTGGAGAACAGGTTATGTGCATCAGCCTGTGCTAAGCCCTTCAGATGCTTCCTCTCCTGCAATTCCATTGGAGCTCTAATAATCTGTTTCAGAGCTAAGGAGAGGAGGCTGAGGGGGAATGTAATTTGCCAGACATCTCCCATCCAGTGCAATCTTCCCTCTGCCTGATTCCCTATCAGCAAAAGCAGAATGGTCTCCGAACAAGTACACCCTCTCCAATGGCCCCTTTCCTTATTCCTCACCACAAGTGGCAGAGCGGTTAGGAGCTGGGCTGCTTTTCCGAAGTCCCATCACACCACTTTGCACTTAGGAAAGACCTTAGCGCACTGCCATCCCGTCCATTCGGCTCACAGTGACCTTGTAGGACAGAGCAGCACTGCCCTTGCGGGTTTCAGTCAGTGTTTATGAGAGTCAAGAGCCTCATATTTCTCCTAACAGAAGACTTATTACATCAGGACTTGTTTTTGCTAACCAAAAGAAATCCGAGGAAGATTTCCACTTTTAAGATAAACGGCGAGACGTGAGAGTGGCAGTCAGTATTGGTTTTACAGGGAGCTATGGGGATCCTTGTGGCATAGTTGATTCAAATCAGGCTGCTAACGGCAAAGTTCAAAACCACTAGCTGCTCCTCGGGAGAAAGACAGGCTTTCTCCTCCATTGAACAGTTGTAGTCTTGGGAATCCACAAGGGCAGTTCTGCCCAGCTTTACAGGAGTGCTATGAGTCAGTCAACTCGATGGCAGTGAGTTTGGAGTTTCGGATCAGAGAGGCAGCGGGCACCCCAAATAGCAAGAGTAGGGTCGCCAATCTCCTCTCCGGGAACCCCACTGTCCATAGGTGATTTCTACTTGGGTAGGCTGTGTATTTATCACATCACACCTACTTTGACTATGAATTAGTGCTATTTAGGTTTTCTGTGTTCGTTGGTATAATTTGGTAGGTTGTTTTTATGTCTAGGAACCCTGAAGGAATTCTGGTAGTGCAGTGGGTTACAAGTTGAGCTGCTAACCACAAGGTCAGCAGTTCCAACCCACCAGCTACTGCTCTGCGGTAGAAAGGTGAGGCATTCTGCTTCCATAAAGATTTACAACCTTGAAAACCAAAAGGGCCGTGCCACTCTACCCCCGAGGGTCGCTATGAGTCAGAATTGGCGTGGTAGCGATGAATTTGGTTTGGGGTTTGGAGGAAGGCTCAACCATTTTTTCCCATATGAATGAATGGCCTTTGCTTCTTTGCTTTATGCCATTTTGGCTAATGCCAGGTGTCACTGGAACGCTGGACCTTCAGACGGCAGGGGAAGGCTTCCTAGTGTGCTAGGTTCAGGTGACCTCCAATGAAATAGAGGCCAGGGGGTCACGTGTCCCAGCCACGTGAGGAGAAGCCCCTGGAAAGGCAGGTCCCAGCCCCACAGCCTGAGTGACCCTCCACAGAGGTCAGAGTGGGCTGAGTCCCATCACTTTTAAATTTTGGGGGTAGAAACCAGGATTAACAATAAAACCTTTATCTATGACTCTGATTGCACCATACAATATAGGTGCAAAATCAAGAATGTTTAGCGTTAACATGTGATTGTGTCTACCAATCTTTCTGCCACTTTTCCATGGGGAACATATATGAATGACTCCAGGATTTACATCTATTCCTACGTGACTAGAAACTGAATACACTGGTAATTTTCATTCTGATTTTATCTTTTCATGTGAAATTATTTGACACTTTAAAAATTGTGCTTGGCGTCTTATAAATAGTGTGGATGCAAAGAAACATACAGTAAACTGTTTGAGTTAAAATGCACTTTGGGAGCCTCCAAACAGATGGTATCAACCTAGTGGTAATGAATGATCTAAAATGAGTTCAGGGAGACAGATCACTCTGCTCCTGTAAAAAGCCCTAGAGAGCAGTGCAGCTCTGTCCTGCATGGTTGTACGAGTGGAAGTGATGCATGGGCGGTAGATTTGGGTTTGGGTTAAGAATAAATTGGCCTTCTCCCTTTGGGTCCTGAGAGCCAACCCTTGGAATCTCTCAGGTAAGCGAAGTGTCCTTGTGGCTAAAACTGCCAAGCAGTATTTGAGAATTTGTGCTAGTGGGGTGGGGTGAGATGGGGGTGGAGGAGGGGAAGGGCTACATAGATTATAACGAGGCTTTTCCCCAGTTTGTCTCCCCCAAAGACATGCCAAACATTAGAGGCTATTTGCCAGCATATGGTGGGAGGCCAGACACTTAGAGATCCTCCCTGAAGGCAGTCAGTTGCCAGACCACTGTCTGGTCCCACCACAAGTAGGGCCCACTCCCTGCTGTTAAGGACAATGGGCTACTTCTCCCTAAAAGCTTGCAGCCATCAGTCTGGTCCCTGTAGATGGGGTTTACACCCTACTGATAATGGTTTCCATAGAGAGCCAGAGAACAGGTCAAACCTGCTCAGTGACATCCAAAGTTAGGCTGCCACCCTGAATCTAGGATCCACCCTTCTTGTCACATGTGTGCCCCCAATCCCTCCCCTTCCTATTGCGTGTATATCCCTAGATTGTTCCCCTCTGATTGCTGTATAACCCATAGTGCAACCCCTTCCTGTGATGTATGTCTTTACCTGTAATTAGGAGGCTTGCACGTCCCCCAAAGATATTTAAGCCTTGGTCAGCAATAAAGATCTCTCTCCGCTCTTCTGTCCTCCCTCATTCATCTCCCTCACCTTGCCCTCCTTCCCCTCCCCCTCTTTCCTGCCCTCGGGTCTCTCTCCACATGGACCACTGAGCAGGGCTGAAGTGAGTATGCTACCATGAAATGTGTCTGACTCTCCTCTATCTCTCATGCTCTCGATGACTTTATTATAATCTCTATATATATTATAACCGTACAATTGCTCCTATCAAACCTGCAATTAGTTGTGGGGGGCTGGCCTTTCCCTCACACTACCTGACCAACTAATCTCAGGAAGAGAGAGGGACATGGTTGAACTAATCATACACATTTAATAAATCAATCAACCATGGCCAAGCGATGAGGCCCCATTCAGGACTATGAGGCCCATGAAGAGCTCTGAACATGGAAGTTCCTTGGGCTTCCTGGTTGGCGAGATGTCTGCTCCTGGGAGGATCACCCAGTGATAGAGAAGTGAAAACTCTGTGGAGGGAATGTGATGTCTCTAGTTTGTGGGATAGGTGGGTTTATTGTGCCAGCCTGGCCAATAGGAACATGTGGGATTAATCAGGTTGCAGTTTGATTGGAGGCCCGCCCTCATCTCTCTTGCTCTCTGGTAATTGAAACAACATGCTGCTGCTTTAGCTAGTTCTCTGCCTCAAGGAGACCTGCTTTGCCATGCTGCTGGTGAATACATTGCTTGAACTTGAGGCTGGTGGATCCTGTCACCTTGCATTGCTTGAATTTAATATCCCATCCGGGCCAGCCTTGCTAAGCTCCTGAGCTACTGCCTATTGCTGACCCACCCTGCTGTTTGCTGCCTGCAGAAAGACTGCCTGCCTTGCCCGAGGGAGGACTCTTCTGTCTGCCTCCTTGACCTTGGCCCCGGCAACCCATGTGAGTTGAAGGACTTCCAGTATATTACTTGTTCCATGAAAGTGAGTTGAACTGAGCCCTCTGTACTGCTCTGTGGACTAATTAGCTGTTATATTCCTTCTCACTGTATAAACCATATATATATATATATAAAATCATAAGTGTTCTGGTTTTGTTTCTCTAGAGAACCCTGCCTAACACAGTTTGTATCCTCTCTGGCTATAATAAAGCCGCATGGTGTTCTCTTTCAACCATCTCAGATCAATGAGATACTGCATTGGGCACACCTGCTGCAAGAGATTTCTTCAAGATGATAAACGGTGGGCCCGATCTGAGTGCTTTTCAGCGGCCTCATGCACATGAAAGCTGGACAGTGGACAAAGAAGACCAGAGCAGCACAGATGCCCTTGAATTACGGTACTGGTGACGAAGACGGGATATTCTGTCAACTGCCAGAAGGACAAATACATCTGTCTTGCAAGAAATACAGCCAGCTGCTCCTTAGAAGTCAGCACGGTGAGGCCTCATCCTAGGTACGGCGGACAGTCATCAGGAGGGACTGGTCCTTGGAGAAAGATGTCATGCATGTGAAGGAGCAGCGGAAAAGAGGAAGCCCCTCGGTGAGATGGCGTGACATGGTGCCTGTGACAGTGGGCTCAGACATGACCTAATGGTGGGGAGAGCGCAGGACCAGGCCGGGCTTCATTCTGCTACCCGCGGGGGCACTGTGAGGCACAGCTGACGTGACGGTGCCTGGCAACAATGGCATCTTCACGATGAATCCTGTAACTTACTCCAGGGGATGACCGAGTCCGTGGGAGCTGTGTAATTATGGACCCTCTGGACCAAACACACTAATAAGGCGTCTATAGATTTCAAAATGAGTTGTCTTCTCCTTGGCAAAAAATATCCACCTTCAGTGATGTCCTGGATGTTAAGGGAGGAAGTATGGTGTAAATTCAAAGAAATACATTTGTGATATCTGAAAATGCTTTTAGAGTTTTTGTTAAGTCTCAGAGATCGCTCAAATGAACTGCAGCTGACAGGTAAACCCAATCAAATACTCCTTCCTATGGGCTCGAGTCTGGCGCACTGTGACTCTATGGGACAGCTTCGAACTGTTTCCAAGATTGTGACTCTTTACAGGAGCAGAAAGCCTGGTCTTTCTTCCTTGGAGCAACTGGCGGTTTTGAACTGCTGACCTTACTGTTCGCAGCCCAACGTGAAATCACTATGCAACCGGTGCTCATCCGCTCACTGTATGCTCCCAAGGTGAAGTACCAGCTTCCTGAGACCAGGAAGGTAAGGTCATGGCTAACAGCACTGATTCAGGGAACTCTTATTTCACACAGAGCCCATGAGGAGCACAACAGAGCTTTCCTGAGCAGGGTGTCTGCCAGGCTGGGGGATGGACTAGGACATGTACCAGGCCAGGGGTTAGAAGCATGAGCTTTAGGAGCCAGACCGTCTGGGTTCAGGTTCACACTAACTTACTAGTTATGTGACTCTGGGAAAGTTACTGCTCTACCTTTGTTTAGCTCATCGAGTTTCTGTGAAGAGGAAATAAGCACTCCCTTGTAAACTGAGTGAGAAAATGCTTGGCACATGAAAGTGCCGAGCAAGCATTTTCCTAGTGTTATTAAATTGCTTATCTCAGCCTTAAGAGGACCCCTGGGGTGCAGTGAGTTTTGCATTTGGGCTGCTTTCAAGTCAGCAGCTGCTCCTGGGGAGAAAGAAGAGGCCTTCTACTCCTGTCAAGTTAGTCTCAGAAACCCACAGGGGCAGTTCTACCCTGTCCTATAGGGTCGCAATCAGTCAGAATCAACCCAATGGCCATGAGTTAATGAATGAGTGACGCCATAAGGAACCTGGGTGATGCTGTGGGTTAGGCATTAGACTTAAATGCAAGGTCAGTGGCTCAAACCCAGCATCTACTCCACAGAAGAAAGATGAGGCTGCCTGCTCCTATAGAAACATACAGTCTCTGAAACCGTCCATAGGGTCACTGTGAGTTATACGTTTTACAGAATATGAGGGGCCCAGTGTAAAATGTAAAGGTAGGGTCCCTAATTCAAAAGTTCTTAAAACTTTCAAGATAACAGTAAAGAATGAGACCAGGTGCGGTTAACTATGACGGCAGGGCTTCCTGAGTAAGGATGTGCTCAAACCCACTGCCATCAAGTCAATTCCAACTCCAGTGTGTAATCAGGTATGGGGCCCTTGAGCCTTGCACTTGGAACCCAAAGACCCATGGGAGAAAGGCTTGGTGTCATTCCTGTAGAGATGAAGGCCTGGAAGACCCAAGGGAGCAGTTTTCTTCTGACAGATCGGGTTACCATGAGTGGGAATCCACTCAGAGGCACCCCCAGCCTTCCCCTTGAGTTCTGGGCAGGGCTGCTTCCGGGGTGCAGCACTTGCCATCATCACACAGGGCTCCATGCTAAGCAGGGCCCCACACCTGGTCTCATTCTTTACTGTTTTCTCAAAACGTTTAAGAACGTTAGGGTTAGGGCCTCTGTCTTTACATTTTACACTGGGCCCCACCTTCTAGAACTGGTCCTGCTCTTTCTGCTTGGTGCTCTGTGATGTTGTGGCTAAGTGGCTCTGGACAAGGGACAGCTTGTGAACTTCAGGTGTTCCTAGCAACCTCGTAAGGCCCTTGGGAGCATAAACAAGATGTGTGCACAGTGCTTGGCATGTATAATTTCTCAGAAATGGTATCTGGTATTAGTTATATTGTTGTTATTGTTACTATGATGGTTAGATTTTATGTCAACTCCATGCTAAGTGAAGGAAGGGGTGGAGCCCAACCCATCAGTCAGGTTGCAGCCGGATGATACTTCCATGGGGGTGTGGTCTTTTGTTTAAGAGAGGCCCTCAGCAGTACCCAGCTTGCAGCTTCATCTTCTGTGGGATCTGGGTCCCCGTCTGGTTCGAGGAGCTCCTGTTCTAGCCCCTGCAGATCCCAGGAGCCGTCATCGGACTGCTGACCTTGGATTCACTCAGCTCTGCATGCACCGGCCCGCGGCCCTCCTGCTTCATCTTCCTGCTTCCTGTTCAGCAGGCCCTGCAGCTACACGGTCAGAAGCTGGGTTGGTCTTACCCACTTCTACAAGTAAACTGCAATTGTTGACATCAGTCTCTCTCTAGACATGGACAAACCAGCACACTGGTTTCGCTTCCCTGGAGAGCCCGGCCTGACAGTTACCATTTCTCTTTTCAGAATAACTCACCCAACAGCTCTGTACTGTTCCTACACACCCACCTTCTCGCTTACACTCCAGTGACAGGTAAAAGTGGTCCTGTCATTAGTGGAATGCCTCTTCTTTTTGGAGTTTTTGTTATCGCCCTTTATCATCTGTATCTTTTAAAATCTGATGTTTGAACATCTTTGAGTAAATATCTGAGAACCGAAAAGTCAGAAAACTCCACGCGGCCGCGTTGTACATAGTGCTAGCGATAATGTGTGAAAAACAAAACCAGGCAGCTGTAAATGCAGGTCCTGTGGAAACTAGCTGCATAGGAAATTACCATGGAACATCAGCGCAGTTTGAAGTTGACTGTTTTCCCCTCAAAATTGTTGTTGTTAGGGGCCAGTGAGTGACATTCCGCACGACAGAACGACACCCTGCCCAGTCCTGCAGCACGCAGCCGCTCACAGTTGTCCTTACACTTGAGCTCCGGGCTACAGCCAATGTCCATCCATTTTGTAAAGGGTCACCCTCATTTTCACAGACCCTCGACGTTACCAAGCACTGTGCCCTTCTCCAGGCACGACTATGACTGCAGAGCCAAAGTATGTGAGGTAAAGTCCTGCCATCCTTGCCTCTAAGGAGCATTCCGGTTGTACTTCTTACTGATTTATTTACTTTTTCCCCAGGCTGTACTTCTTCCAAGACAGATTTATTTGTTCTTTTGGCAGTCCGTGGTACCTTCAATATTCTTTAGCCCTATCATTCAAATGTAGTAATTCTTCTTCTGTTTTCCTTAGTCAATGTCCGACTTTTACATGCTTACGAAGCAAATGAAAACACCATGGCTCAGGTCAGGTGCACCGTTGTCCTCAAAGTTACATCCTTGCTTTTCAACTCCTTAAAAAGGTCTTGTGCAGCAGATTTACCCGATACGATGAATTATTATTTCTTGACTGCTGCTTCCAGGAGCATTGATTGTGGATCCAAGCAAGACAAAACCCTAGACTACTTCGGTATTTTCTCCATTTATCCTGGTGTTACGTAGTAGAGTTCAGTTTGTGAGGGTTTTGGTCTATTTTACATGGAGTTTCACTCCATATTGAAGGCTGTATTACAACTCAATTTACCAAATTAACATAGTTTTTTAAAAAAATCAAGATAAATTCTTTAAGATAGGGTGTGTTTGGTTTTTGTTGGGGGGTCACCTTATTAAAACTTAAGGCTTCTGTAAATCTTAAAGCTGAAGTTCTTTTTTCTATAAACTTAGACTGCAGAAGAATTCAAGTGAATTGAACTGGAGCAAGAACTCATTAAAACCCTGCAGAACAAATTTTTTAAAGAAAGCATGTTGTCCGTGGGCGAGCGATGGTGGCACAGTCGTTACGGGGTGGGCTAGATCTGCAAGATCAGCAGTTGAAACCATCAGCTGCTCAGTGGGGGCAGGACAGGGCTTTCTCCTCCGGGACAGAGCTGCAGCCCCAGAAACCCACAGAGGCAGTTCTGCTCCGTCCTGTAGCGTCTCTGACTCGGCATTGACTGGATGGCAGTGACTGAGTGCGCAGTGAAGACGGTGAGTAAAAAGTATGTTCAGAAACAAAATGAAGCATGACACTGATGGCGATACCAGCTCAACCCTTTATTCACAATCAATTGTAATGCGACTGATTTCACAGTGACTGCAGAGTATGAGCCTTCACTATAAAGGCATAAGAAAATACTACTAAGAAGCAAGCTGCTCCTCAAATTCAGACGATTGCTATTTGGCCACTAATGAGATATTTCATCCCTTAACATTAACCATACTGTAGAAATGTTTTCAGACTTTGATCAAAGTAATTGAGTAACATACAACCTGTCCAAATACAATCTAAAAGCAATATATATATGCTTCACTGAAATCATGTATATGATATGTGTATGTAATTCACTGAAATCATAAGTGATCTGTCTCAATAGAAAATTAAAGCCCTTAAAGAAAATTATAAGACAGCATTTATTCTGAGAAAAAATATTACTGAAAAATCAATTTAACCCTTACAGAATTAAACATCTGTGTTCCTTCCACAGCAGTATTTACCAATAAGCACAACACCAATGAAAGTGTCTGGTGATCACAGGGTCTCCTGGCATGTTCTTAAATCCATCCTCCAAACTTCAGTTTGTTGGGTAAGTACACCCGGGAAAGGTAATCAGGTGACAGGAAGGTCAGAGCTTGAATTTCCGCCTTCATCTTGGAGGCTGCCATTATTTCCATCTGCCAGAGAAGAGAACAGAGCTATTGCTGCGTTTCTGTCCAATCAACCCAACGGAGGTGGGGGTGGGGGGGTTGTTGGGGACCCTGGAGTCGGTCCACAGTAGAACAGCCCACTGCTGGTCTGTGCCACAACTGTTGTTCTGCTTGAGCCCATTGCTCGAGACTGCCTTTATTCTCCAGAAGCACGGACAACACCCTTAGGGGTCAGTCAGTCAGAACACCCTAGAGCTGCTATCCCTAAAAACATGGGGAATGAGTGGACCCACTATGGGTGCCTTCAATAACTAGGAATGGTGGGCGCTCCTTAAAATGATGGCTTCTCCTTATCTTTTAATCAATTACTATCTCCCCCACCCTCCACAGATGATACAGTCACAGACGGTGGTTCTAAATCAGCTCCAATCTGCTGGTCTTATCACATGACTCAACATTTCAATGATATTTTACTGCCACACCACACGAACATTGGTTGTTGGGTAGCTATCACTTCAAGAGGCTATTTTCAAAATATTAAATGAATAGTCACTGCTAACGTTAAACGTGTGGCATTTTTAGTTCAGCTTCAAAAAGAAACATACTTCTTTTCTCCAAAATGGCTGGCAGGTGACATACGGTCTCTTCAGGATGCTGTCCAGTTTCATCTGGTCCCGCTTGGTGAGTGGGATTAAAGTATTCTGAGGTACATTTAACCTGAAAGGGGAGGGGGCTGGGAGTGGGTACTCCTCACACTTGCATGTTACTTCCACGTCACCAACACTTCCTGTGCTCTTTCAAGAAACCCAGGAACAAGAGCTAGGAAAAGGGGTGCCAATCCGCCTGTAAGTCCATCCTCACCCTCACACTGTGACCAGGCAGCTGAAGGAGGGAGGCCTCACAGCCCAGAGGCTCGGCTCTTGGAGGGGGGGAGGGGGAGGACACTGAGAGACCTCAGGCCCTGGGGTGTTTGATTTTTTATTTATTTTCTGTCATTTGACAATGCCAGACCAGGGAAGTTAGGATATTTACTATTCTCTCTCACACACACAGGTCTCTAGTCTTAAATTGGAGGAAATTTTTAAGTAGACTTGTGATTTTATCTTGGGATACATTTTAAAATGGAACAGGAGAAGTCTGGCATCGATAGTACAGCGTTTGAAGTCATATACCCTGCTCTCCCGGGAGCTCTGGCTTCAAATAATCTACATCACTGTCCCCATAATTATGAGCATTTGCCAGTGGCAGCTCCTGGGTAGGGGACAATGTGAGTGAGAGGGAGGCCCGTAGGATATCTCTGGAAGGGGTGTTTGTTTAGCTCACAGCACCCTGTGCTCCCTTTGACAGTGTATTTCTATGGGTGGCTTTTCCAGGTCCTGGGGATGTTGGTGTGAAATGCAACCGGAACCTCTCCAAGGCCTCCGTCTTCAGAATGACCGGGCTGTCAGCCCCAGCTCTGCCTTAGAAATGGCCTCCATCCAAAGAGGTCACCCCCACGGCGCTCTGACCTTCATTTTTAAGAGGAGGCCGACCACCCCAAACCTGTCGCCTTCCATGTGCAGGAAACAGGAACCTGTGGGCCTGGGTCGCTCCTGGTTTACAGAAACTCAATACACATCTTAAACTCACCCTCCTTAACCAGTGAATACAGCGAGATCATGGTCTCTTTGGAATGCCACACCGCCGAAGATGAGAAAGCGGCCATGATGCCCTGTGCAGAGGGACAGGAAACCTCCTACGCTCAGGTGGGAAAGCGGAACAGTGAGCCGCCCAGAGAGGGCAGAGTCATAAAAGTGGGTACACACTTTGACCCATAAATTCTGGGAATTTCGGCAGTGGGACTACTTGGAGGTATGGGCATGGATTTGGTGACAGCGCCTCCACTGGAGTGCTCCCATATGATGGTGGACTGACCTAACCAACACCGCCATGTCCCTAACCAGACTCAGTAACAGAGGCACCAAAAGCAGGCCAGAGAAGAAAATGAGAGAGGGGGAGAGAGAGAGAGATGGGGCGGGGGTGATGCAGATTGCGAAATAGTATTAGAGTATGAACCCATCTTTTATGAAAAATAATAGCTACCCGCAGACGATAGCCTCGAAGGATAGAGACAAAGCATTCGAGGTACTCGTTCTGCAGGGGATTTTTACCTCAGTACTTGCTATGTTTCCTATCATGAACGCATACATGGGATTTACCCAACATCAGGCTCCCAAGCATTCAGTTAGCTTGCAACGAGATCTGTTTCATGAAATGAGAACTTTATGAGGGGCCAGCTCATGTTAGAGTGACTTATTGTAACTGCTAGAGAACATGGGAAGGCAAATGATGTCAGCAACTAAGATTGAATTGGAGCGCCGTATTTTACCTCCTAATTATAAGAGAATTTGCAAAAGTTTAATTACATAGGGAGTAAAATAAAAATGTGTTCTGGCTGCCTGGCCAGCTTGATTTGTTGGGTTTTTTTTTAGTAACTGAAAAAGACACCCTGATACACTGAATTCATAATTACACGATTCTGATTCAGTGACAGTCCAAGGGAAAAACCACTAAGCTTGCCTTTCTATGCTGTTGTAGGCTTACTATTAGTAAAATGAGTCATTTCAAATATCCTAGTTGTGCTCAGTCATCTAACCTTTGAATATCAGAAGGGAGGAGGCCAAGCCATCTCATCGCTGGAACCGTGAGATTATGAGCTTCAAAAGCCATGGACTGAAATAAAGAGGGAGCACATATCAGGTCAGTCTAAGCTGCAGAGAACCCAACCCAAAAGCAAATGAACCCACTGCTCTTGAATAGCTTCCGACTCACGTCAAACCCGATAGGACAGCATTTCCTAGGCTATACCTCTTCACGGGAGAAGAAAGCCTCATCTTTCTTTCTTGGAGGGAACTGGTAGAGTCGAACTGCTAACCTTGCAGATAACAAGCCCAACACATTACCTACTGATGCCACCAGGACTCCTTTGCAGAGAAATCACTCAACAAGACTAACTGTCATCAAGTTGGTTCTGCCCTATAGCAACCGTCTAGGACAGGGTAGAACTGCCCCTGAGGTTTTGGGAGAAAATCTCATCTTTTCACCACTGAGGTGCTGGTGGGTTTGAACCGCCACCCTTGTGGTTAGCAGCCCAAGTAGTCACCCACTACATCACGAGAGCTCCTGGCAGAGAACCGTCATACTTTTGTTTACTAGGAAGTGCCCTGGTGGCATAGATTACGCTGTGCTGCCAACCACAGGTGGGTGGTTCCACCTCACAGGAGAAAGATGAAACTGTCTGCTCCTGTTAGGATGACAGCCTCGGGACAAGCCCACAGGGCAGCGCCCCTCGGCCGCCCTCCAAGGGGACTGACGTGAGGGCAGTGGGACAGGGACCGAGCTAACGTCACATCCTGAGTCCACAGAAGAGAATCCTCCAGAGCTTGGCTAAGCCACACTCTCCATGGCACTTTTAGAACTGCTCCTTGGGGACTGTCTGCTGCTGGAAAAGATTAACAGCCTTGGGAACCCGCAGGGGCAGTTCTACTCTGTCCAATAGGGTCACAGTAGGTCAGAATCAACTGAGTTAGTGTTGCTGTATCGATTTCCTATAAAGCGGAAGTAGAAAGGGACCTGAATTGATTCATATTCTAGCCCCTGGCCCCACTGTTCTGCCTTCGACATGGCTGTGGCCATTTCAGGAAACTTCAGGTGTAGGAGTGGGATCGTGGTCCCCAAACTCCAGCATGCCACAGCCTCCCTTGGGAGGACCCCATCCCTAGAACTTCTGATGCCTAGATCTGGATGCGGCTGAGGTGGGCATTTCTAATAGGTTTACAGGTGATGCTGATTCTGCCAGTCCAGGGTCCAGACTTGGAGACCCACGGCACATGTTAGTCGCAGACTCGGGTGAGATTTGGTGGGGTCAGTTCTTATAGCCAGAGAAAGGGAATTGGCCAAGTCAGAAGTCAAGGCTGTCCTCATACTCAGGGGAGCTGCTACTGTCTGCTTACCCTGCTGTTGCCGTAGGCTCTGCAGTACCCCCACTGGCTGGGCAAATGGGGGATAATCATGCCTCTTGCCCACTGCCAGTCCTAGCTGTCAGCCCAGGGTGCCCTGGCCAGGCTGGAATAACAACCACAGATGTGCAGACTGATCCTAAGCACAGAGACAGGATCACCCAGGACAATGGGGGGCCCTCAGGTTACTGGGGCATGCTAAGTATAGCCAGTCTGCAGGAGACTTACCAGGGAGCCGTACTTGTAGATGCACATGATCTCTATGCCTGTTCAAAGAAAGCCAACTGAAAAATCCATCCTCTGGCAGAGGACATGTGTGCCATTTGTCCTTTCAAATTGTATCTGGTATGTGGCACTTGGTTTTTTTCCAGGTGTTACCATGAAAATGCATCATTCGCAGTCTAATATGGCAAAAATAAAGCAATACAGTTTCTCAAATGATTATACTGCTTAATTTTCACATAATGAAGAAGTAGCCTTTTACATATTCCATGACTTCCTTACTCCCCAGAGCTAAGCACTGGTTTGAGTGGTTAAAAATGGGAGGAAAAGTAAAACTGTAATGGACGTGGAGTCCAGTGACAGGAAGTTCATGTCCAACACAGGAACCGCAGATAAAGAAGTAGTAACCACTAAGTAAGTATCTATGAGGAGGTGGGACCGAAAAGCACGCCAGGTCTCGTCTTCCTGGCTGCTCCTTCCAAGTCCAAGGAGACGTTACCGTGGGGATCGGCGTCCACCAGGGTGAAGAGAGGGAGGTGGAACAGGTCCCACAGCTTCTTGACTAGCAGTCTTGTGTTCAGGTCGGGAACACCTTTTCCCTGAAAGCAAGGTGGAAATGATGCAGCTTCATTGGTGGAAGACAGCAGGCTAAACTGCATGCTTACCTCTTCAGTATGCTTAAAGTGAACCACCCAGCTGCCCCTGAGGGTCTGGAGGGGTAGGGGTGGTGCTGGCTGTGTCGAGCAGGCAACAGGCAGCAGGGATGCCAGCCACCCCAACACTCACACTCACAACTGGGTCTCAGTCATCCGACTCCTAGGCAATGATCCTAGGGACAGACTTCAGCAGAGATGGAAATCGAATCAGCAAATACCTGATATATTTGAAGATATTCACTGTTGTATCATTTTAAATCACTGCAGGTAACAAAATATTACAAATCACTCTAAATAACCCAAACATCTAAGACTGGCACCACAGAGAGGCAGCCCAGCACAGGGGTCATGAGCACCCATGGGGGTTGGGTGGCTGGGTGGACTGGGTATACCTGGCACAGCCATTTCTTCACAGTTTCAGGCGGCCGCAGTGACGGACCCTGCCAGTGCTCCCCTTTCCTCGTCTGTAAAACGGCACGGAAGGAGCCCTGGCAGTCTAGCGGTTGAGAGCCCGACTGCTAACTGAAGGGCTGGCAGTTCGAACCCACCCAGCAGCTCCCTGGGAGAAAGGACCAAGTGGTGTGCTCCCCGCGGGGCAGGGGGGGGGGCAGTTCAACTACACCGTATGGGTGGCTATGAGTCAGAATGAACTTGATGCCCCAACAACACAGTCACCTCTCACGAGCTTATTACAGGAATCAAGTTACTTTATAATCATAAACCACTTAGGAGAGTACCTGGTGCAAACTTAGGGTTAAATAAACCCTCAATGATAGGCTGATACTCTAAAGTCAGGAAAGCACTAATGATGTAGTTGAAACCGCCTTACTGATGCCTGGAGCTCCCGTGGGGCTGCTGTCTCAACCCAGGGGGCAGGGCCGTGTTCTTGGCTATTCTTTGCACAGTGAGGCTGGGGGGAGGGGGCCCTTTTGACTGAATCACTGAAACCGCCTGGCACACACACTGTGAAGGAGGACCAGGGGCAGCATTCCATTACTTCAACCTGCCCAGAGCCCATGTCACCTCACTGTGGGAACCAATAGCCCTGGGAGAAATGGGGCAAGGGTCACCTCCAGCTGCCCCCAGCATGGGAAACTTACTTTTGAGGTCTTTAAGAACTGGTCCACCACTTTGATTTTAGCTAGGCTTGGGATAGTTCAACAAACACCTGGAAAATCTAGATCTATGACCCTGTGTGGCTAAGAGTGTTGTCCAAGTGCAGAGATGGCATGACCCCATCTCACCAAGCACCCACTGTGGAACGCGCTAGCCTTGGAGTTGCGGGGAAGGTAGAGAGAATACCGTAACCATGATGCACGGAGACATTTTGCTGCAAAACTGGTCATCTAGGAGGCGCTGAAATGTTGCATCTTTTTCTACAATCAAGAGGAATTTTGCATCTGTAATGACATCTGCGATGTTAAGGCTGCAGCTTGAAGGCAAGAGTACTTACATTTATGTCCACCAACTACCCTAACGGGGCGTACACAGCCATCGAGAAACGGTGACACGTGCAACATTTGCATTTTTCCTTTATATGAAACAGACATCGGCCCACCCTTCTAGGGAGCCTTGGCATGAGCCGGGCTGCCAGCCACAGCAGCCAGCACATTGGAACCAGGAGGAAGGTGGCACTATCTGTCCCCTAAGCAGTTATAGCCTCAGAAACCCTTCCATCCTGTCCTAGAAGTGCGCCTTGAGTCCAGAATCAGCTCGATGGCATTGAGTTTGATTTTAAAACTTTTTTTTTACTCATACTTTAGAAGTGTCTGCCCTGCTAGATGGCAAACAAGTTAGGCCTCCAGGGACCACGGCACATTCTTTTGACATTAGGGGGTCTAACTTGCTCTTCACACACTATGAAGGCTTGATTTGTCAAAGGAGCGTAGGAAGAATCCTCCTCCGAGCTTTGTCTTCCAACCCAAAGGATACTCCGGAGTCCTTGAATATTAGATGGCACAGCAACAGCCTGAGTTAATGAAACAAGAAAGGGTGTTGGTGGTGTTTCATTTCATTTTAATAAACAAGCAACTATTACTAAACTCAATAATCAATCACAGGAATACAGAGTTTCATCTTCCTTCCACTACACCCACCAGCAGAGATGCCGTCCACAGTCAGACAGCAGGAGGACGATAGGCTGACCCCTCAGCAAGAAAACAGACGCATGGTGCACACTACCTCCCCCGCAGGGGAGACCCTCTAGAAGACTCAACAAGCAGACCCTGAAGTCACGGGCAGTGAGGCTTCCTTGGGCTGGCTTTCCGAAACATCGCCTTTCTTTTTTTTTGCCCAACAGGTCCCTTAGCCCTTTTCCAAACGACAGTGTTAACTAGCTTAGTCCTAGAGTCTTGCTCGTCCCAAAGTCACCCAGCAGGTTAGCAGGACAGAGATGAACTTCAGGGTAGGTAAGTCTTCAGAGGCTTACAGAAGTAGCCGTGCTTTGTCCGCCCCAGCATGCGTTCCCTGGACATAACAGTGCATTTTCGAAAGGCATGTACACCTGCATACAATGCAGCACAGCACTTGGCAATTGGCATGTTTTGAGACTATGGAACGTAGAACCCTAGGAAGCATACTTCAGGTTTGTTTCCAGAATCCCCCCCCCACCAGGGAGGTGGCAGCTTAGTATTTGTAAATCACTTTAAGAAAACTTGTTCTCACACAAATAGTTGAAAAGAACATTTTTTCCAGATCTTCAACTCTGCACTGCACGACCACGCCGGAAGGGGATGCCCTTCAGAAACACCGGTCTGATGGAGCCAGGCAGTGGGGCGGGCATGGGGGATGCTTACTGTGGAACAGCCTGTACAGCTCACTCTGGTGCCGTCTTCCTCGGTGAAGCTCAGATTGCCAGCTACTAAGCCTTTCGACGTTGATAACTGGAAAAGTAATAGGCAAATTTGAGACCCCTTTCATGACCATCTATTGTTGAGCCAGTCCACCTGTTCACCTGCAGAGCGACCTGTTTCACTCAGAATGGGACCTGGAAGAGCAAACTTGGCAGGGAATTCAGGAATGGCACGTATTGAGGAGCTCCTTTGCCTGGGCGGCGAGGTGGGTTACACATTGGGCTACTAATACCAATCGCAAGGCCAGCAATTTGAAAACCCTCCCCACCCCCCGGCCAAGTACTCTGCGGGTGAAAGATGAGGCCGTCTGCTCCAGTAAGGATTTACAGACTTACAGACCCACAGGGGCGGTTCACATCTGTCCTACAGGGTTGCTAAGAGTTGGAATGGATTTAATGGCAGAGTTTGTTTTTTGGGGGGGTTTCTGGTTCAGTTCACTCATCCAAGGGAATGTATTGAAATCAGATCACGTACGTTTATAATGACAGTGAAATAATGTCAAGATAAAGCACGGATTACGTTTTTATCTTGGTAACAATTTTGTATATCTGCTACTTTAAATGAAGCGGATTGATACCCAAAGCTAACTTACTATGTGCAGACTCCTCCTCGGCACTTTCAACATGCAGGAAATGTCATTGATTAGATTGTCCACCACAGTCTGGGTGCCAAAGAGCTGGCTGTTGGTGTAATAGATGTCTCTGGGAAAATTTCAAAGGATACATTTCTAATTAAGGTACATTCTCTTTGAATGTGGCAGCTGTGATCTCATTTGAAGGAAACATGAGCTAGCTCCACCACCACGCACGAAGAAAGGAATCTGGCCCCGTGGTCAGCAATTTTGAAAACATTCATAATCACAGTCGACCGAGCTACATCTCGGGCTGTCCGTGAGAGTCAGTGGACAGAACAAGATGCTTACCTTTTGGTTGCATACGTGTTGCTTTGTACGAGCCTATAAATCATGGACAGTACTTTCAGGATTAGTGCTGGGAAGAGATGTGACAGACAGTTACTTGGGATTCTGCCTGAATGTAAAGGACACAGCCAACAGAAACGACCACACAAAGGACATCATGACACACGAGGGACGTTGCCCATCCCCAGTTACGCTCTGCTCCCTTTTATCTTCCCAAAACAGAAGAGCTGAAGACAGAAGGATAACTGCCTGAAGAACTGGGTAAAACTAACTTCTCCACGGACAGCCAAACACGAAGAATAATTGCTCACTGTCATCGACCCTGAAACATCTGCTTCCACGAGTTGACAACATGAAGTTCTAGATATTTCTCCCAAGTACAAAAATTGTCTATTAAAGAACAAGTACTGCTGTCTGACTAGGAACAATTAAACATTAAAAGGGAGTCAAATATATTTACTTTTTTCTTAATCACTAAAAGCCAAGAAAGATGAATTTACCAAAATTTTGAACGGACTTTGGTGAATCGCTTTTGATTTTTCTTGTGGTACAATGAGATACCATTTGAAGACCCACGGAATCTTCAAACCTGTCATTTTGTTTAAAACAGGAAAGTAAGGTGAAAAAACAAGTGTATTAAGAACATTAACCAACACATATTTTATGGGAGGGATAGTAGCCAAGGCAACAGAAGCATAAAGTGCTGAATGGGAAACAAATGGCTGTGTCAGCATTCACCTAAAACACAATAAACTATTTAAAGGAGGGAAAAAAAAAACATATATTTTATGTCCCTCTCATTATTTAAATTCCATGTCTCCTTTTGATGTAATCAATGAAGTGCTGGCATAACTTCTTTGTAAACTTTGGTCATTACAGGAGATAATTAGCTTTGTAATATGCCGAGGCACCACAATAAAATGTTTAAAGCAAAGAAATTAAATACTTATTCTTTATTGATATTAATTTATTCTTTGCTGGTAAGACACTGGGTTTATGTAAAATGTTTTCAAGCCTCTTGAGTTTTATTACTCTTAATAATTGTTATCTTGGAAACCATACAATATTTATCGAACACCAAAAGTTACATTAAATCATTTATATTACTAAATTGCACTGCCAAGCCTGACCTCAAGGTGGCAGAATACACCAGGCAAAGATGCCACCTGCCCTTTGGAAGCCTGGATGAAATAGAAGTACAGTACTACGCAAAAGAACTCGCTGGAGCCCGCCCACCACCACCCACTGTTTTGGTCTGGGTTGCATGAGATTGGGACTTTGATACAATGGAAGAAGCACAGAACTAAACTTCTTAAAAAGTCAGACTGATTGCATCACTTGAGACTAGCGGACTCCCCGAAACCATTGCCCTTGGAACTTTGAGCCCTAACTACCCTGAGTTATCTTTGAGTGAAATACCATGCAGGTACACTAGATAGAAATGGCTAAAAAAAATGGGACCCTAATAACTCACCGAAAAGTTTTCTTTTTAAATATGCAAAATATGGCTACAATGACAGTTTATATTCATTATATTTATTATAAACGAATATGTGGTGACTAAACTTTGGCTGTTGAGTAGTAGTAATGCCGTTGGCTGACTTTACTCTGCTTGGACAGATGACTTAGCAGAGGGAGATCTGGCAAAAGAAAGGCCTTTGAAATGTGCAGCTATGTTCCGAACATATCTATGTTAGTCTTGGGTGTTGGCTGTCATTTCTTCCACTGAGTGCTGTGAACATTTAGATGCAAGCTTGGGGTCTATTTTAGCTTTCAGCGGAGCTCTGTGTTGCAGTGGGGTAAGCCTTGGGCTAACTGCAAGGTCACTGGTTCAAACCCACCAGCCGCTTCACAGGAGATGAGACTCCTCCGCTCACCTAAAGACTTCCTGTCTTGGGACTCCTAAGGAGCAGCTCTGCTCTGTCCTACCTACTCCGCCTGTGGGGTCACTATTGAGTCGGAAATGGCTGGATGGCAGTGGGTGGCTTCATCCGCATTTTGAGTTCCAACCTCTATTGGTGCCCCATTTTATGTTCCTAGTATTACCCCTGCAGGTACAACGGTTAAGTGCTGGTGATTTGCACTCACTCAGAAGCTGGTTCCACAGGGGGAAAAAGCCCTGGACACCCACTTCTGTAGAAGACCCTCCTTTGTCCCAAGGTGTCACTCACTGACTCAGAAGCGACAGCGCCCAAGGGCAACAGCATTGTTTTCCTCCACTGCCTCTGTCACACCTACTCCTGGTTTATCTAACCCTCACGCATTGGATATATTTTGTAAACCTCCTCAAATCCTTTTTTGGCAGGGCAGAGGCAATAGAACAAAAACAATCTGATTAGAACTCATCCAAATAATGACACAGATACGGTATCTAAAAGGAAAAATGCCTACTTGATATTTTCCCAGCTTGATCTGTTGTCCATCATGAACACGGGTGCTTCGCTGCTTGCCAAACTGGCGACTATGCCTTGGATAATATTTTCGATAGATGCAAGAACTTCAGAACTAAAATCACAAATACACTCTGAGTCCATCTTAATTATAAAGCAGGCTTTTAGGTGACATACGAGAACAACACAAGCGGAACTTGATTTTTGTCCGTGGTTTTTTAAGACAGGAAATCCACGTCAGTAATGCTCTCTCCCACTGAACCTTGACAGCAGCACATCAGGACCATTGCCTTCATAGCGAGTACTTAGGGAGATGTGTCATTTGCTTACAACTTCCTGCAAACCTCAAATAATTTCCACTTGAAGTCAGGGTTCCCTTTCAATCAAGTAGACAATATAGTTTATAAATGTATCCTTTCTAATATTTCTATCAACCTGCTTTCATCTAGCTGAATTTAGAAACAAACGCGTTGGTTTGAGAGTCTACTGATAAATGTTTTAGATTAGAAATGACAGACCACTGGCTTTGAGCTCGTCTTTCCTCTTTCTAAAACGTAGTACAGCACTATTCCAAAAGAAACAGTCTTGCAGCACATTGCCCTAATTGATCTCATGCCTGGAATCAACTCTTTTGAATTTTGGTGATACAGAAAGGAAAAAAAAAGTTTAATCATTACCATGAAAATAATGAAGTGTGAGGCCTGTACCAAATGGTTGACTTGGCAACTATTAGACCGTTTTACAGCACAAAATTAAGATTGAGCCCAGTTTTCTGTCAGCTGACTCTTAATTTCATAAGCCATCAGCTTAAAAAAATGTTCTGTTCCAAACACAATTAGCCTATTGACTGGGGTGGGTGAACCAAACAAAATATAGAAAATGGATAAAGCCCAATGTTTTAACGTTATGGCCACGCCAAAGCTTTTGCTGAAAAAGCAGGTCTCCGAGAATGAAGTTTCTAGTAGTGAGAGGTAAGTAAAAACGGACACAAACATCTCATTAAGTTTTTCCTGTTGGTGGCCGGGGGAAAATGCTCCACAAAACTATAACTAACCTGAAAGACACAAACGGATTCATTTACATCTGTGGTATAAACAAGGGGCTTCCCACTCCTTCCAAGGAAATTCTTGTAAAAATGTGTTTGTTTATGGGTGTTTTTGTTTTGTTTCAGGGAGTTGGCTCAGACTTCCAAATCACAGGCAGGCATTTGTTCAGCCATGAAAACCCCTGTTGGTGCAACCAGAGGGCAGATGACGGGAGCCAAGCAGCAAAGCACCGGAAGTAAGCGAGACCAACAGCAGAAACGGGTTCCTGCAGTTAATTCCGATTTGGGTAACTGGTCAATTTTTGCGATTCGTTTTTAAAAATTAATATGAAAGAAATTAATATTGAAAAGATGCACGTTCTTTCCATTTCCATCTACATGTCAAGAAAACCTCCCCTCTGTCTTATTAGAATGTAATTCAAATATTTATGTTGACTACCTGGTAAATGTGAGAAAACGGCTGCTGACTAATGACAGTATTGATTTCCCCTCATTTTCTCTTAAAAGGGAAAAAAATGAAGCTCCAAAATCTTAAGTTAAACATTTGTAGAATCAAAGCAAACTAAAACCACCACCCTCGTCAGCCTGGCTGTGGGGCTTCTGAGCACTGCAGAAGGGGCGCGTCTGCGCAGGGAACATTCTAGAAGAGGGGCGCCGTGACCAGGCTTGGGGGGGGCAGCAGAGCGAGCCCGGGTGGGCCGCCCAGGGGTGCCCTCGGTGGGTCCCCAGCGAGGAGGCCCTGCTCCCGTGACGTCAGGCACACAGGTGGTGATGGGCGCCCCACGGCCGCCCCTCCTCAGGCCACGCCTTCCTTGAACATTCCCGGTCCTTCTTATACCTAGAGGCCCGGCTCGTCACCCCTCGAGCGGGCGCCTCGCCCCCTCTCCTCAGGGCGGCCCGCAGCGCAGCCCTGTGCCGGTCCAGCGCCTCGAAGAAGGAGGCCGCAGGCCCCGCGGGCGCGAAGGCCATGAGGGGACGGAGCTCCGAGGCCGAGGAGCGGCTCGCTCGCCGCCGCCAACCCTTCTGAGAGGGAGACGCGCCTTTCCGGGCTTTTCATCGCGCGCACATGCGCACACCTCATCCGTGGGAGGCGGGGCCAGGGGCGGGGCCAGGGGAGGCGGGGCCAGGGAGGCGGGGCTTGACGCAGCTCCTCCCCCCGGCCGAGCGGATCACGCCCAGGGCCCACTTCTCAGGTGTGGTCCCGCCTTGGAAGCAGGCCAGTGGGTGGTGCGTGCCTCCTGGGCCACAAGGTGTGGTGAGTGAGGAGGTGCTTGTGCAAGGCCGACGCGTTCATGCAGCCTGCTTGGGATGGTGGACCTAGAATTCCTTGAGATGATTATATTTAGCTTCTCTTTCTTCTTGCTTATTGAAGTAGCACCAGCGACTTTTTCATTAAAACAGAATTATGGAGGTCCAGTTAGGCATTCAGGAGATCAAAAGATGCATTGCGTCGGGCAAATCGGCTGCACAGGACCTGTTTAGAATGTTGAAAGCAAGGATGTTACTATGAGGACTAATGTGTGCTTGACCCCTGCCATGGTATTTTCAATCGCCCCATATGCATGTGAAAGTTGGACATTGAATAAAGAAGGCGGAAGAAGAATCAACGCATTTGAATATTGAAAGTACTACGGACTGCCAAAAGGAGTTTGGAAGAGTCTTGGAAGAAATACAGCCTGAGTGCTCCTTAGAGGCAAGCGTGGCCAAGCTTCGTCGCATGTGCTTTGGACATGTTGTCTGGGGAGACCAGTCCCTGGAGAAGGATGTCACGCGTGGTAAAGTAGAAGAACAGTGGAAAAGAGGAAGGCCCTCAGCGAGGTGGATTGACATCATGGCTCCAACAATGGACTCGAGTACAGCATGGCGCAGGACCCGGCAGTACTTCCTTCTGTTGTACATTCAGTCCCGATGGGTTGGAACCGACTCAAGGGCCCCTATTAGCAAGTTAGGCACTGAGTTCAGCCTTGATTAAGGCCAAACAAAAACCCCTACCCTTATTACCGTTTCCATAGTGGTGGAAGTCTTACAAAATCCACTTCACCTAGCTGATCTCTTCCAATTCTCACAGCAACCAGGGAGTCCCTAATGCTATCACCCCGGTTTTGTTAGGGGAGGAGGTGAAGTCCATATTGCCTGGGCAGGCCTGGCTTCAAATCCCAGCTGGATCACTTTGGAAGGCTCCCAGAGTCAGCAAATGGAATATAGAACACCCGGTTGAAAATGGCAATTCAAAGAAAACAACAACTATTTGGGCACACAATTTTATTAAGAAATATCGTATTCATGTTTTATCTGGAGGACGAATTTAATTAGAATCTTCCTGTTGCTGTTGTCTGGTTGTTTTTGCTGCTGCAGCTGCACCCAGTTTTCCCACTAAGACATTAGGGCCACATACCCTCCTCCCCAAAGCCTTCTGGAACAGAAGTCCTAAAACCCCAAGCCCACTGCCACGGATCAAGTGAATCGGCACCCTACAGGGCAGACTAGAACCACAGAGAAGCAGCCTGCCACATCTTTCTCCAGCTGATGAGTTTCTGGGTTCCACCTGCCAGCCTTGGGGTGGCAGTCAAATGTTTTCACTACTGCACCATGTACTAGAGCGTACACGCTGAGCACCCTGTTTGCAGAAGGCTGCGGATGACAGTGACAATCCAACACCCATTTGCAGAGTCCCCACTTGGGTTAAGCCTCCACTGAATTCCGTCTGGTCATGAAAAGAGATGAGAGCGGTCTTGCCCTGGTACAGAGTGCATTGAAAAGTGGATTCCCTCCACTCCTCTCCAGCCAGCTCAGGGAGGCCCAGTTCCCCTTAGGGACTTGCCTGGATGTACCCTCAATGGAGATCATTGAATGTGAATGGGGTGGGGGGTGTTAGTGCCCTGTCAGCCATGCCCTGAGTGATTTGGTCAGAAGGCCAATCTTGTAAATTCTTCTGACATAATGTCTCCCACCCATGGTGTCCTTCCACTTCTGTGGTCCCACTTGGCAGTTTCTCTTGTGTTTCCTGCCTTAGTTAAGCAGCTATGTGGTTATGAAGGGGACCCTGGTGTAGCGGTTATAAGGTGGGCTGTGATCTCCATGGTGGGCAGTTCGAAACCACCAGCAGCAGCTCCTTGGGAGAAACACTGGGCTTTCTACTCCCATAAATGCTGACAGTATTGGAAACTCACAGGGGGTCTCCAGGAGACAGCATTACCTCGATGGTCATGAAAGGTACGGTAAGCAAGTGGTTATGAATTCTTACTACGACCACATGCGAATCCCTGGAAGATGTGTCTGTGTCTTTGTCTCTGTTAAGAGTTAATAAATATTCTCCTTAAGTTACATTTGAGATTGGGGCCTCTTTTGTGCTCCCAAAACAGCCACCAGGGCTCTTCAGAACCGATGGTAGGAATTCCGAAGCACCAGGGAGAGAGTCCTCGTCTGTGTGCATGCTTGCGTGGGAGAGACAGGAGCAAGCTCCTCTCTGGACGGAGTGGGGCCTCGCAGCCCGTGGGAGCCTGTTCCTGCACAGACGGGGGTCGGAGACTGGACCCCTGAGGCCCCACTCCACCTACTTCAGAGAACTCTGTTGATCCCTCAGCTCCCAGATACCTGACAGTTCCCAAAATGGAAACTGGCTTTGCATCGCACCTAACGCTGGTCACCGCCTAAGGGGAGGCAGAAGCTGAGGGGAAACGGGAGACCATTTCAGCACTTGGGTTGACAGACTGGGAAGTGCATTTAAAATCAGACACAGCCTGAAGAGAT